TATAATTCGTTACACTGGGGCTGTGTTGTCTGTGTTAAGCTGCTGTTGCACTGCAATTTCCCTCACGGGATCAATAAAGTATCTATCTATGCAGTTCTGCATACCAGGAAGATAAGGGAGACAGCCTCAAGCAGAAAATCCCCCCTTTCCCAGCAAACTTTCATCTGCAAAAAGGATGTTATTTACAGCACAGCATGACAAAAATACACTACAGTTCTCTTTTTTCAAGGGCTTGTTACTTCTAGTGCTCTTCCTCTGCTGGGAGGATTGTTTCACGGATAAGAGACAACACTCAACATCAGAGCAACTTAGGCACACGTTTCACGGCTCCAGCACAGCATCTGCTTCCGAAATACAGCTCATTTATTGAATACTTTTTATTTTTTTTCAGTTTTACTTAATATCTTTTGGCAAGTTAGATCGTTTTGAAAAAGGAAAAAAAAAGGCGTGTTCTGGGTAAAATGAAAAGGTTTAAAAAAAACGAAAGAAAATAAAAACAGAAGAACACCAGTCCGTTCTGGAGGGGAGTTATTTTTTTCTTGCAGTAAATGCTGAAATAATCCTTACAATAGCAACAGCAAAAAAAGAAAAAAAATGCTTGCACTTCAGGATTCGGAACACAAGGGGGCGCTGTAGTCAATGAAAGGCACCACAGGAGATGGAGAAGAGGACCTCAGGATGGAAGTTAATAGAAAATGTGTAAAACATCAGTTAAAAGCGAGGCTCTGCTCTAACAGTCTGGCAGTGTGTGTGTGTGGGAGGGGGTGCTGTGTACAGGTAAAGGGAAGAGGGGGGGTACAGTCCGGTTCTGTCCACGCTAGATGGGCTCGGGTTTGAGCTTCTCGGCCAGGAAGTCCCCCACGAACTGCTCCACCACGGCGGGCGTGATCTCCTCCACGTCGCGGACGTACTTGGCGCGGGCGGACATGTCGAGGATGGTGAGCAGGGGCGCCGCCTCTGGCAGGTTGGTGTAATCGCGCAGGGAGTCGCTCATGTCGTCCTGCGCACAGAGACAGACGGACACAGGAGAGGCCGGGTGAGGTCGCAGTGTGTTCAAGCGCCACACAGCCCTGACCCTCTCAGCGGGCTTCAGCGAGTAAAGAAGTGAAGTTCAGGAAGATCCCGTCAGACTGAAGTGTTGGAAAAGTGTTGGAACCTCACTGGGGTATCTAAATCTACTTTGAGCAAACTGCTGTATGTCCAAAATTCGGCAGCCAGAATCCTGACCAGGTCCAGTGCAAGTGATCACATTACTCCTATCCTGGAGTCCTTGCACTGGCTTCCTGTCAGATTCCGTGTGGACTTCAAAATCCTCATGCTCACCTACAAGGCTCTGCGAGGCTTGGCACCTCAGTACCTGTCTGAACTATTATCGCCCTACTCCCCACCTCACAACCTTCACTCTTCCAACTCTGGTCTCCTTGCTGTCCCCCAAGCCCGTCTACACTCTATGGGTGACAGGGCCTTCTCTTGTTATGCCCCCAAGCTCTGGAACTCTCTCCCCAAGGATATCAGAGAGTCACCTTCTCTAAACTCCTTCAAATCCAGACTCAAAACCCTCTTCTTTAGAAAAGCCTTTACTGAACTGGTTCCATTCTTCACCCCTCTGCTCTTCACAGTACCACCATCCACGGGCTCCCCAGTATATTATAATTGTGTTTTATCTTGTGTATTCTATTTATTTATTGTTGTCATTCTGTAAAGCTCTTTGAGAAGCCACCTTTAAAGGCGCTATATAAAATAAAGTTTATTATTATTATTATAAAAGACCAAGCTGCCTTCCTCCGACTTACAGAGGCTTTAATCCCCAGTTCCTCTAGGGATTCTTCTTAAAATAAGGGCTACACGCTTTTCTTATGAAACAAAGAATTAAATAACAGCTGGATGAGCAATACAACACGAGCCTGTTACCAAAGCAGCTCAAACTCAGCACCTCCTTGGGAAGCACAGGATCCCACTTGATGAAATCGCAGAATGAATTCCACAAGCATACAGAGGCCACAACACTGTGAGCTCCGGGGTTTGGGCAGCAGGCCTACAGTACTCAATGAAGCCCGGCCCGGGCAAAAACCGTAACAGCCAACTGCTTCACTCACAACACCCCGTCAACCAGCTGCCCCACTGGCACCATTCTGAAACGGACCACTGTACCACACCGTACTGTGGCACAGCTGGCAGCAGAAGCGTGCAGAATTCAAGCAGGGCGCACAAAACACACTGACACCGCAGGGGAGGCCGGGAAACAGGCAGAAGCCCTCAATCTGTGCGGAGTGGGATGGAGCAAGGGCAGTGATCCGGGCGGGAGAGGCTGGGTGTATACGGAGCTCACTTCCTGTGCTTTGTGTTCTGGGCTGGTTTCACTGCGGACCCCCCGGGCCTGTCTTAACCCTTCACCGCCCCAGCCAGGCCCTGCGCTCAGGAAGGAGGAGGACAACAGCAGCCGCGGCTCTCTCGTGCTTCCTGCATCGCTGAAGCCCCTCACACACATCACAACAGCGCGCGGGTCATCACAGACTACACCGGCCTTCATCACCTGTCTACTGTCAGAGCCTGCTTCGCCCTACAGGGGTCTGAGCCTAACCAGGCAAACACAGGGGCCAGCCGGCCAGCCCACTGCAGAGAGCACTCGTCTGCACGCACGCACGCACAGGGAGTACACACCTACATGCACGGACAATGCAGAGACACAAATTAACCTAGTCAGCCTGTCTGTGGACGGTAGGAGGACACCCCACTTCTACACAGTCCAGCTACACTCACACAAACCCCAGTCCAGCTCCCCTTCTTATACAGTTGTGAGAAAGTTTGGAATTATCTGGATTTCTCCATGAATAATTGTATGCTAATTGACTCCAATTAGCCTCTTTTCAAGATGTCATTATCCTTGAAGTTCACATACTTTTTCCCATCAATGACCTTGATTGTTTGAACCATTTGTTCAATAAAGATATGGCAATGTAAAATGTCGTGTGTGTTGTTTGTTAAATAAGACTGTCTTTATTTATTATTATGACTTAGATCAAGATCAGATCCAAATTTAGGAGCCATTCATACAGAAATCCATACAATTTCCAAGGGTTCACGAACAAAAAAAGGGTTTTTCTCAAAACTGTATACTCATTCCTCAAACCATTAATAACACGTTTATTTTTCAGGAAAGCTTCAGTGAAAAGCCATTTTTAATGACTGTGAAAGCAGCTAGGTAATATTCTGCAGCTCTAGTGGACCTGTAGGAGAGAAAATTCAGGTCCCAGTTGAATAGTGCCAATCAGTGCCCCAGTATGGTGACAAGGGACACTGTGCTGTTGGAGGTCTTGTCCTTCAATTACATTAGACACATTAAACTGGGATCCTGTAATTAAAGATCTCATGGCACTGCTCTCTAGAATAGTCCTGGAACAATCCTCCCTCCCTCAATTTTCCTTTGAATTCAATTGTTCTTCAGTGCTGCATAAACTGGGTCCCTTCCTATACGTCAGGAACTTAGGGGTCCTTTGGGATGCAGAGTTACATAAATCCAAGGAATTCATAATAATGTGTAAAGGAATTGTACACTTTCAAAATCTGCCAGCAGGTGGCACTGTTGCAACACCACCGAGCCATTAACCCCTTCATTTCCAGGATGGCCTTGATTAACATCGTCTGCTTTTATATGGAATTCTCCTCCAGCCCTGCTACCTAAATGGATTAATCTGTGCAATCAGACTTCTTTCTCTCCCAGCTGTTCAGCTGCTTTGTTACCTAAAAAGGACAAACCATTATAGCTAGGCATGCTATTTGCTGTTCTCCATCTGTGCGTGAGTCAGGAAAAAAAAAACGGAGTTCACAGCAGCCACTGCTGGCCGGCCGTGTGCAGAGTGGGTACAATCAGGAATCGCAATCGATCAGCAGTATCTGCTTGAGCTGCTGCTCTGCCCATCTTGCAGATACTTCCAGGGGTTGATCTATTGTATTTCTGGGATGCATGCGGTGTTCTCCGAGGGATGTGATGCACGTTTCCCATGTACAGGTCAGTAACCCAGTGTTCAGCTGCTATGTGAAATTTTACAAGGGAGACAAAATGCAATCTTGGCAAAACCTTTAGATTAACGCACAACAAAAGCACAAAAGTCTTAAAGGAGGCCTTCTCTCTTTCTGGGTTTCACGGTCTCCTAAAATAATATGATCTTCCAAGAATATTGCCAATATTTCATTATTAAATTACCTGGCCAAAACGAACCCCAGGAGGGGGTTTATTATGACAAGGGAAAAACAGTGCAATCAGTGCTTGGACGGTTTCCAGAGATCAGAGCAGATTTTAATCTTGCAGCTGTCTGTTTGGCACCAGGCATCACCTTTGGGTAGCAACTAACCTTGTGTAAACTATTCTTTTGGAACCGCAACCAGTCTTGCTCACTGTGTACAAAGCCCAAGATGGCAAACGGCAGCCAAGTCAAAATCGAGATAAGAGAGCTTGTTTGGGAGATCGCCGAGGCTGTACAATGTCACGTTTATTCAAGCCGCGGTGCCACTGTAGCATTCCATCGGCACTGCCATCAGATAAGCCCTGCAGGACGCGAGCTCGTACTGGCCAGCAGGGGGAGCAGGGCTCTGCTGGCTGGGGCGATGCGGAACGTTCTGATGTTGTGACATTTGGCGGGGCTGTACAACCGGCACTTTACAAATGAGGTCATCGCCCGGCAATGCACGGCGTACGTAGACACACAATGAGGCTGATTGAGAGTCAGCGCCGGGGTTGATCTGCGTTATCTTTTGAGAATCATCTAACTCAAACGAAGAGGGACGCGTGTATGAAGTTACACAGCTCCCACGCGCCTGGGCTCTGGGCTACTGGCTGGCCAGTCAAAGGCGGTGTGCTTTTCTAACCCCCCTGGCCTGAAGGGGGCGCTGCACCGGGGTCCCTGCGAGCAACAGCTGCGTCTGGACACTGCAGTCAGGCTGTGGAATTCCAGGGTGAAGGATTCAGTTCGGTTCTGAAGAGGTCTCAGTTCTGCGCTCCTCAAGCAGAAATCCGCACCGGCTCTTTAAATGATGACATCACTCTCGCTCGACTCTGGCACTCCAGCAGGTGCCGAGAGCTGACGACCTGACTCTTGATCTAGGGCTGAGGCTGGCGCCCTACTTTTCCCCCCAGCCCTGAGCTACGTAAACGAGCTGAGACAGCGTCTCTGCTGCAGGGGACACAAACTGCATCTCGTGGGGAGGGGCCAAAGAGAGGGAACAGAGGCCCCTAAGCTCCCACTGCTGACAGCGACTCCTGGCCCAGCTCTGAATGGCCACTGGATCAACCAGGCAATGAATCTGCGGGCGTTTGCCAGGCTGCTGTTCACGAAAGAGGAACTGCAATGCTGTTTTCAAAGCTCAGGGTTAAAAAGAATCGCCATTGATGAGTGCATTTCATGCCACAGAAGTAAAATGTACACAGTAACTTGTAAAACCTCCAATTTGCAGCACGCAATCTCGAGGTTGCCACAGCTCCAAGGCAACAAGGCAACAAAACTTCTGGTGAGGTTAAGTGGCCCTGCTGCACTGTGAACCACCAGGCTTGTGAATACCTGACAGTGGTGAAAGTTGTGAAAAGTTGTGAAAGGCTGACGGTTTTGCCGACAAATACTACCTACTGATAACCCTGCGTGGAGGTCATGTTGGAACATTTCTGCGGAGAAATGTCTTCTGCACGACCCGTACATCGCATTACTTCGGTCATCACAGTGACTAGTGAGCAGGAAGGGCCACATCACCTCCCAATTCACGGGAACCTCAAGTTTGAGACATGTCAACTGCTGTGCTTAATCCGAAATGTGATTTTTTTGTTCTACAACGTCAATAGATCTATTTTGTCACTGAGATTTTATAACCAGCCTGCGAAACTGGGACTGTGGGTCCCCTTTAACTATCCACTCACAACTTGCAAAACCCACAGGGCACAAGGGGAAGAGCATTTAGAACTGAGAACTGAGGTACATCTTTACCCAAAGGGTTGTGGGTGTAGGTCTTTGGATTAATTCGCTACAGTACCAACTGCCCCCACAGGCCAGGTGGGCCGAACAGCTTCCTCTCGTCTGTAACATGTTCTTCTCTTGCGACCGACTCTCCACAGGATGAGCGCTGTAGCCTCAGAGAAGACCTAAGGGTGCTGCTCTCAGGGTGCAGCTTTTAAGGCAAGAACGCTTAACTAAGGAAGTTAGGTGTCGCAGAGCCCCAAGAACCTAAATTTCGGCTCTTTGAAAACAGACGCGGTTTTTAAGGAGGAGATCAGGTGTCTGAAGAGGATAAAGTCAGTGATGTCAGCTCCCTGCAGCCCGCGGTGCAACACAGAAGCCACAGCAGGCGTTGGGGCACTTCAGTAACGCGCCCGCATGGGTGTAACAAACTTATCTGCCCATGCCTTCTTCTGTTACCAGATTGCTGCCATTAAAAGGAGACCTCCCCTGCTCTCTGTCCCAGAAACTCAAAGCGCCAGGCAGGGATCAGCAGGCTGACAGCGAACACATTCCGCCGTCATGCAACAGGCAGGAACCAGATGTGCTCCACTTTATTCCCAACTAACGAAACCCAATCCCCGAGCCCGACTTCGCTTTGAAATGGAAAAGCGAGAGCCTGGCGCCACCAGGAGCCGCTTACAGTCAACAACTGGGAACGGAACAAGTTACTTTCTGCGGAGGGATAATCCAGGCAGGCAATCAGGGCTTCCTTACTAACTCTTTGGGATGCGCTAGTAGAAAAAAAAACCAAAGCAGCCGACTTAATGAAAACTTAGGCTTGGAAGGGAGATTTTGTTGGTGGGGTCACGGAGGTCACTATGGGTCCAGGGCATCAGCAGCCCCCCTCCACTTCTGTCCAAAAAAAGAGCCAAAAGGCAGATGAGGCTGTTCCACTGACAGAGCAGTCACCCTCTGCTGTGCACAAGATCCTTCACCTGCTACTTTACAATTTGTTTGCCTTCCTGAAAAACACACAGCTGGATTTTCCCAACAGGAGAATATCTCGGCAAAGCTGGGAGGTGAACAGCCACTGTGGGTGTGGATTTAAGTTCATTTCCTGCTTTCATCTTGTAACCTTAGGAGTTTGCGTTTCCTGTTTCAAAAAACCGGCTGTAGATTTACTGCATCTTAAATGTTTCCTGAATATGACTCCGTGCGGCTCATAAGGTTTGGATTTCAGTGTTTCTAGGTCATGCCTGTCAACATCGCCAAGCGCGTGTGATTCTGTATCACGGGCTCGAGTCCCACCTGTCAGCTGTCATTCGCGAGGGTAAAACATCCGTAGCAAGGCTGCCGAGGACTGTGGGAGAAAACGTCTCCTGGGAGCAGTGTGGGAGAGCAGGGTCCTGGCGGTGAGTGATTCGCTAACCAGTGTTTCCAAACACACACTGGCATAGACAAGCACACACTCGCCGGCTGTTCACACCGCTGACAGATTCCTCCAGTTTCTTAGAGCTGACTCAGCAACACACTCACCCTGCTCGCAGGACGGCCCTCCACTCAACCCGCGTCACATTCTTTCGCCCTTAATTTCCGCCCAAGTGTTGCCCACCTCCAACATGCAGCCGGCAGAGGGCAGTCGGTCACACTGCCCCCCTGATCCCCGACCGCTCACACTCACCCCGCCAGTGCAGGATCAAGCTGCCCCCTGACCTCTCACACTCCCCCCACCAGCGCAAGGTCACACAGCCCCTTGACCCCTGACCTCTCACACCCCCCCCACTAGCGCAAGGTCACACAGCCCCCTGACGCCCGACCTCTCGCACTCCCCTCGCCAGCACAAGGTCACACTGTCCCCTGACCTCTCGCACTCCCCTCACCAGTACAAGGTCACACTGCCCTCTGACCCCTGACCTCTTGCACTCTCCTCACCAGTACAAAGTCACACTGCCCTCTGACCCCCAACCTCTCGCACTCCTTTCGCCAGTGCAAGGTCACACTGCCCTCTGACCCCTGACCACCCGACCTCTCACAGTCCCCTTGCCAGCGCAAGGTCACACTGCCCTCTGACCC